TAACATAATTGCACTAATTTTTCAAAACACATTCAAACATTTGTAAATCGCGTGACTCGCGACAGCACATGTTCTAGAATGATCACGTTGTGATAGTTCTATTCGAGTCATTATTAAACATCAAATTGGGTTCTTTTCAGCAACGTTCGTTTTTGTATTATGAATTGCAATCGATCGTAGAAAATTGAATGAAAGTAATTCAGTATGGACATAGTAATTTTTTTGTTTATTGTTGCATTTAGGGGACTAATTGCAGATAGTTTTGGAATGTGTGAATATCGAGCTGGGCTATTCAGAGGATTTGGCGAGTGTTTGGGATCGGAGAGGCTCGAGAGAAGGACTGTTGTTTATCAGTGATTCGCATTGTGAATATCCGTTCATTGCTGGCATTCTACTGATCGATCATGTTAAAAAAGCTTATCGCTTAAATGACTTGGTATGACGTTTTGTTTTGTTGTTTGTTTTTATGGTATGCGCTTCGATATTGTTCCGTGTTGTTATTATAGTCTTTTATTATTTTATTTTCACACTTTTTACTTAACATATACGATTAAGTGGTGACGGTGTAGGAGCTGAAATTTTAGCGGTCAAAAGATGAACTGAAATCGAGTCGAAACGAAGCGATTACGCAAGAAGTTCACGGAACCATAATGGGTATCAATCGTATTTGGGTGCATTCGCAGATGCGACGTAAGTCGATTGCATCGCGATTGATACGAAGAGGAAGGGAGTTATTTCTGGGTGATGGAATATTACCCGACAATATGGTTGCGTTCAGTGAACCAACGAATGACGGCATCGCTCTCGCGAATTCTCGTTCGAAGCAGATCCTCGTCTACGATATCGATTCAGTCGTGTAATTTGGTTGTGTTTAATTCAGCAATCATATTTATCCGTCCAGTGTTCAAACGTCTCATTTAATGTATTCATCTGAAATCAATCCTCGTAAATTTGTGCATGAATAAGCAAACATTGCAAATTGCGAGTGCAAATAATGAAAATATATTAAAAGATGAAGTTTCTTGTCGTTCTGAAATAAGTGGCAGTAGATAAGGAAAGCTTTTTACTTGTTACTTGGTCATCGAGTGGTTGTTTTGTAGATCGCTTTGAGCGATCGGCGGAATATTTATTTTATTAGAGTTATGATTATTTATTGGACTGGTATTTGGTTATTATGCAAAGTATTTACGGCAACTAATTAATCATTTGGTTGTAATCGGGTGGTTTGCTCGTCTAGCCAACGGGGTGGCGTCAATAAAGGCTAAAACAGTGCGAACGGAAACGCGAGCATTGTGGCCAGCAACGTTACAAACGTTTGATAGCCTGGCCAATCCAGGCAATCCAGATAAGGAAAACCTCATTTAGAAAAAGTGAGTCAGTTGAGCTTCAATGAGCTAATATCCTTGCAAACAATACATGGAATATTAGTGTGTATATGCTTGAAAAGCACATCAAACTGATAAGATCTACTTCATCGAAGTTTTATGCTAGCTGAACCTTGATAAGTATGTTTGAATGAAAATGCATTAAATCATTAAATGTTGTGAAGCGTGTATTCCTATTCGAAAAGGAATATTTTTAGTTTACTTGAATACAATTTGACATTGATTTAAAACAATTTATTCCATTCCATTAATATCTTTACAATGTGCTCAACATATCATTAGCATGCTTAATTGTTATTGATGTAATTATTTTACTGATTCATTCATTGCTATGCGTATTTCACTCATTTTTTTGCATTTTTCATGTGAAGAAGAGAGCGTATTCTGTGAATAAAAATTTTTTGATAACGTTCAATTTGTTCATTTCAGTTGAATATTCGAATTCGTGTTTCATCAATATAAGATTTGTTATATCGATGAAACACGAATTTATATCGAGTCGCATTGCTCGATTTGATTTAATATATATTCAAAGAAAAGGGAGTTATAAGAGTTATGAAATGGTTTGTTGAAAGCAGCAATCAATACAAAAATGACTGTTTTACATGAGCATATGCAAATGTACTTATGAATTCATTGTTGCAAATAATATTTCTGTTTATATTGTATAGTTTTTGGGACGTTTATGTGGATATGATTCGGTATGAATAAGAAGAGAAATATATTAATAATGATAATAATAAATTGATGACCAGATAATACGTATAGAAATGAAATTGCGGGACGTTTTGACGTAAAGTGTCAGCTTCAACAGCTGGAGTGTTCGATACTCAATTTCGCATTATTTGGTCACCAAGATATTATTATTATCACCGTTGTTATCATTATTGTTATTGTTGTGATCATTGTTTTTATTTTCATTATTGTTGAACATGCGATTCTTAGCGCTACTCCACAATTTCATTCGTGATATGATATGACCGTATCACATATAGTGTCCGCCCGCACGTTGTGTGCGATTTTGACTCTGATTTTGACTACGGTGCGAACGTTACCGGAAAATCCGGCTGATATTTAAAATAAGAGAGCCGAGCAAACGATATTGTATTGTTTAAGATCAGAAGCCCTCGTAGAAGAGAATGTCGTCGTTAGGGGCGATTGTAAGGCAGTATTCAGACGTGCATCGATGCTTGGTGCGGTACATGATGATGAAAGGATACACAACGGTTAGTTTTGTGCGATATGACAGAAAGACGTTGTTCATATTTTGTTTCATTGAGTACCATTTAAGGTCAGTGATTTTCTCGATAAGGTGATTGCGTTCAAAGAAGTGTTCAATGAAGGTGAGTCGAATTTATATTGTAATTATTTATGTGCTAATTATTCGGAATAAAGAGTACCGTATTGGTTTGTAATGTCAGAATTATTCGTGTGAACTTAGTGATGAAATTGAAGATTATAAGAAGTTATAATCACACCATTAACAGTGATAATAATAATAATAATAATAATAATAATAATAATAACAATAGCAATAATAATAATGATAGTCAGTTTAGGTGGCGATAATAGTGATGAAATAGAGCAGCTGAAGAATAACAGAGACAGTATAATGGAGCCGTTAATCAAATTTATGAATCGAAAATTGGACTTTTCCGGGCTGAGATTTGTGGAGATTGTGGATGAATACGATGGCGATGCATCGTTTGTTGCATTGGTGGGTTGGTTGGTTGCGATTGGATTGCCGTTTGGAATTGGTGCGAAACTGATATGAATTGAAGGTGAACTCGTGTGCATTCTCGGATGTGTTGACGAGTGGATTCAAACCAAACGAGATGGCTTTTATAACGAAACTTTTTAAGAGTATTTGCAACGATGAACGTGCCGAACTGAATTCGTGTGATGCTCTTAATATGGGTTATGAAACTGATGTGAAGGTGACTTCATTAGTGGTTTTGATTTTTGTACCATTCTTATTGTTTTCGGTTTAGTTAAGTGCTCTTATTATTGTTATAATTATTAACATTATTATTATTGTTATTGATATTAATATTAGTATTTACTTTTTTGTTTTAATATATATTATCTATTGACACATATCGTTATTATTATGAGGCATATCGTTGATGGCGTTGAATGTTGTGTTCATTTCAGTTATCTTTGAAACGATCTCAAGAGATACTCGATAAATTGATTGCTTCAAAATGGCTGTGTTTGGTTAGTAATAAAAGCTCATATCTCATTTATTTATTATTCGAAAATGAAGAAGAGTAATAAAAATTTTAAATAACAGTAGAATAATAAAAGTTTTTAAATAAAATTCAGTCATTTGCTCAACGCAAATAACAATTTTGCATCTTACTGAAGTGACGAATTTCTGCTATATCTGTACTGATTGGCTAACAGTTTTATCCGTTGAACTAATTGTAAGAATTTCATTGCATTTATTTCATAATATTTCATGTTGAATGAGTGTTTGATATTAAAGGATCCTGAAAATAGATCAATGCTGCGTTTGACTGTAAAAGGTGAACTCGAGTGGGGTCAGTATGTGCAAAGTGAGAGCATTCTACATAAATGTTCGTTATGCCAGAATTTCATTCTTATCAAATCGAGACTATTGCATTGTACCGTTTGTAATGACACATTCATACACCAGCATTGCGCTAAAAGGTATTTTTCAAATTTGTTTTGAAGTTATATTAGTTAATCTGAAGAATATTATTATTATCTCGTGTATAGAATGGAGAATTAGTGTTATTTCTGTTGGCATTATTTTTATTTCTATCAACGTGTAACTTCTTGAGTATGAGCATCGTCAAAATGTTAAGTCTCTAGAGGTTTCTCCATTGATTTGTTGTTTATATTCTCAATGATTGATAATTGGTAATTTTCAGAATGATTCAAAAAAGAAAGTTAGCCAATTTCAAGTGTCCTGGTCGAGATGGCAAATGTGGTGCAGTTCTGTTGAGAAGGGCAGAGATTGGTGGTGGTTGTTGACTGATTGATTTTATGCCTCAATTTGATAACCAAATGTAAACCGTCACAAAGATGTCGGTGTTGTTATCGATCTCCGTACTATTACTTATCGTCTCATGATTACTTTCTCGTACTCGTAATTAGTATCGTTCAGTTCCGTTTCATCACCCTCCCGTCGCTCATTGTCAACGATCATTTCTGCCCCCCAACAGTGTCATTCATCATCAGATCAATGCTTTTCGATTTTGCAACTTGATGCCTAATCTGCAAGCGAGTCAACTTTCTGCAACATTGATAACAAGCATTCTGGCTGTGCAAACTTGATTTACGAATAAAATTGTGTGCAATAAGATGGCAGATTATTCCAGAAAAGTAATTTTTATTCAAAAAATATTTCCGCTCTCTCAATCGCATCGTCCCAACAAAACAATATATTTTAACATTTTGACATTAACTGAGAATTGTAACGGTCATAATTATCACAGTTATACGAAATGTAAATAAGAACATAAGAATAATGAATAGAACAATATGAATGGTAACACCAAATAATATGGAATGATAAATAAGAGTTAATTGATAATCAGTTACACTTCATTATGAGTATATATCTGTCGGTTATCACCAATATTGAATCAGTACATTACCTTCAACATCACCATCGTTGTTCCCTCAGATAGTGTAACAATTTTCTTTGGGGTAGTCATTTTATGACTGGACTGTATAACTGCTGACAGTGTATGATAATAGCTGTGATAAGATCACGTCAACGGATGATAATATTGGTAATGAGCAGTGGGATTAAATACGGATTTTAGTGGGATCAGTACGAAAGAATCGTTTGAGCGTGAACACTTGAACGAAAGCGCACGCGATCATGGCCAGGGTCTGTACCGTTGAGAAGGTGTCAATGTAGGATTTGTTTATGTCCTGCAGCTTCGTGTCGCGCCTTATTGTGTACTGCCTGAATTGTGACGAGAGTGCCATTGACTTGATGTGCTCGTCGATTTTTTGCGTTTTCTCCTGAAATTTTGTTCACTTTCATTATAAATACTGGCTGCTATCATATCATCAATAAATACTCTATTATTTATTCAATAATAACAGTGAGCAGAGAAAACCAACAGTGCTAGCCCAGAAAACTGACAATACAACAAACAGTACTGGCTCGCCAAATATATCAATAATCCAAGTTAGAATTTCATTAAGACAGATGCTTCCAACGCTATTATCGTTAGCTGCGTGGAAAGAAGAATACCAAGGAAGGATGAATGTGATATTAGTGATATTGGTAATAACAGACAGGCATAAACTCGTAATGAGTTTGATTTGCTGATTAAATAAAAATAACAATGACAATAAATACCAAAATATGTGATTGTAACTGGAATTTTTTGCTCATTTCGACCAGATATTCTCCTGCTAATTTCTGATCCATTCCAGCTATGGTCAGCAACACTCGAACCGCACGGAGACCGGCGTCTGCGGTTGCGCACACTTCGTAGTCTCCTTGAGTTGTATTATTTGATGTTATTATTTATTATTATTGTTTGCTAGAATTATTATTTCATTGAAGCAATACAGTAAGTATCTCTGCATTCAGAAAAATATATTAATATTGTCGGGCGATTTCGCTTAGTTGAGGGGGTATAGCTATTTGATTAAAGCTATCTGAACTAGCGCTGAGGTGCTCATTGATATGCATTTGATCACTATAGATCAATGCATATTATACATTAGTGCATATAACAATGATAATAAATATTATCATTGATCAATGCATATTATATGAATGCATATTATAGAAATATGGGTTTGATTGAAGCAATACAGAAAGTATGATAGCAAATCACCGACCCGTTTCAGTTGCATTATGATGAAAATGAACAAGGTCTTTGCCGTGATACCATTTGTTGAGTCGTTTGGATGGCGATTGGACGTGTAAATGCAATTGTTGTGATTGCGTGTTGTATGACTTAACTTTGTTTGTTATTTCCATGAATACTCAATTGTTCAAAATAAACAGTAGTCAATCGCTTTCTTGCCTCATTGTCAATCGCTTCTATCGGAAAGAGTCGCACTTCAAAGCTTGACGTTTCTTATTGTCAGTTGATGGGAGTTTGTCACTCATCAAAGTGTCAAACGACTGATCAGAGCGATAATTGGATCACATTTGGTTTCAAGTTTTGGCTGAGGTTTACACATGGGGAAGGTGATCTAGTTGTTGAATGGACATTTTAGCTTCGGTATGAGCCTTAACTTAACTCTACGTCGAAATGTAATCCATGCATCGCCACTTTTGTATTGCCAATATTTCACGTGATTGACTCGTTCAACTCCAGCAAATGTTCAAAGAAGTAGAGTTCTTTCTAGTGTTGTGCGGGGAGTCCCCGAATTCGGGGTGCCCATCCTCGAAATCTCCGTCTCCAACCGTTTACGAACGGCGGCCATTTTCGGGAACTCTTCCCGTCCCGAATCTCTGTCTCCGTCCCCGACCCACTTTTCTCTCCCAGCACAACACTAGTTCTTTCTGAACAAATATAGATCAGTGAACTAGTAAATGAATCGGTACTTACCGACAAACGCAAAGTCATTTGCATAGATGAAGTGTACTGTTCATAAAAACAATAAATTTTGTTCGTTGATGAAACATCAAACACCAGATCGATATTGAATTGCAATTGTTTCGAGTCGACCATCGAACGGAGTGAGACTGACGAGCATTCTCGCATTATTATCATTATTATTACATATGCTAATGCATTGTTCACCGGCCTTTTTATCATTTTGATTGTGCGATTATTCTGGAATTTTATACGATTCGATTACATGCATAATTGACGACATAGCGTTTTGTTCGCTTTTCATGGAACAGGTGAGATGACAATACTGCACACAGAAGCGCATAAGATAGGTAATAGCAGAAAATAATGTCAACGACAATTGTGACAATAATTGCAATGACATTGTTTGAATGCTGATACCTCGTCGAATACCTCGACAGCTAACGGTAATTCGGTAATTCAATTTCTCACTTGTAGTGTTTCAGACTTTTTCACATATGCACTCCTTATTATCTGCATGGTTTTGCTGGAAAATAGTTCAAGAAGTTCATTGGATTGCTGATTCCCGAAAGTAAAATTTATATTGCAATGAGCATGATACTGATACGAGCAATGATAAAACATTGTCATTTATAACACAAACATCCCGTATTATCGATAAGGCTCACAATACACATATCCCATTCACACACTAATTCTTGACGCGACAATTACATCGTATTCATTGAATACCGATGAATGCTTAATCTATTCTTATCATTATACGGGTTGTTTGGCCCTGCTTCTAACAACGAATGACCTTTAGCCTTGCTTCTAACCAGATGCCAGTGGTCGACTGTGCACTAGCACATCAAATCCGTCGGATCGATGCCTCCGGTCAGCTCGTTGAACAGTGATGAGGTCATCAAGTCAAAATACTCGTGAAGTCCCGATCTCCTACCCCGACCAAACCCCTTCCACCCCCTACTCACATCGAGAAGAGGATAAGAATCGATCGAATCGCGGAATCAATTGGCCCATACAATTGCACAGAATGCAAAATTTGCATATGTCTGAATGTACACGTCTGAATTTAATGTTGCTTTGAAGTGTAGTCGAATAAACATGAACCTATTAATTTATTTGAAACTATTTTTTCGACTCATATAACTTCATTTTCGGAATTTTTTGCATTGAAACCATCCATGCAGAAGTCAAACGCTATTGAATAGTGAAATTTGTGTGGAAACCATCAATTCAGTTGTTCTTGAATTATTTGAATAGGGACAAAATGATTTTCGTATAAAAATGTACATTGATTATTAATATATCACTAGTAAAAATAATAATAAAATAAACGATCTGTAAAAAGGCGAGCGAGTGACTGCTATCGACACATGTTGTTGGCTTGAATGATCAGTTGGATGTGCTATAATCATTATCATACTCACTGTATTTGTTTGTGTATTTAGGTGTTTATATCAATTCTAATGTGATGCACATTAAAAGAAATACATCAATTATGATCGTATTCGTTTCATTTATTCTGCTAATACAATACGAATGATGTTCACCGCAGAATAATCATTTTGAAAAAAAAANAAAAAAAAACATCATTATTGAATTTTCCAAATGAAATTTGACTCGTCTCTTCGCTAACAAAATCGATTCTATAAATCCATATGTTAATACCAATAATACTAATAATAAGAGCACTAACCATAATGAGAATTTTCATCCAGTTTTTCCACATGAAAGAAAACAGTAAACAATTGCGAGTATTGAAAAAGTAACGTGCTCAAGGGAACAAGAACGAGCAGAGCAACGAGAACGATGATGGCTGCTGATCAATATCGTTATTGTGCCGATAAAACGTCATTTAATTTTGTATTGTGCACATGAATTATGCATTGTCATTTATTTGTATGGTTACGTTGGTTTATTTTGCATGAATGTGTCCATCCATATATTTTGCATAAATGAATCGAAATTTGTTGTTATCGTTTCATTTTGAAACACATCTTTGAAGATACATCTCGTCGTCGTGGTCGTTTTCGTCTGTATAAACAAACAGAAGTTAAGAGCTGAATATAATCTCTGATAAGTCTGTGAGTGGGTATCACGTTAGAGACAGCAGCTATGTGCCGCAATCATGCTCAGCAGTCAATATGTAAGTCGTGTGTATGTGCATGGCAAATATGGTGGTGGTGGTGTATTTCAACTAAGCCAAGAGATGTTCAACAAAAATGATGAACATAAGCAAAGTTGTGAATGAAAGAAAGTATGTCGTCGTAGTAGTTTTAAAAGAGCCGTTTGTTGGTGCCACCACCAGCTGAGGAAAGGGATGTGGCAGATATGAGGATCAGAATTGAGTGCTACTGAAAATCGAGAGAATTGAAGTGATGTGGCAAATTGGTTAATATCAGAGAGATATACACACAACATTGCGATTGCTCTTGTTGTATCTAAGAAGCTGGTTGCATATGATCTGAAATACCGCATGATAGAGATATAGAAGAAAGCTGATTGAATGCAGTGGTGTTTGGCAGCAGCTGGATGTGAATACACATTCAAGGCAGCAGTATTAAGTGCGAAGTGACAGTGATAAGTGATGATAAAAGGAGTCGAGAGTGGGATATAATCGAGAGAGGACATGCACAGAAACGTGCGATGGATGCATAGATAGGGGATATCGATATAGTCTTAAAGGCAACAAATTAAAGGCTTTATGACGCACACACATACACATGTACACGTGAATAGAATGTCGAGAACGAGAGGAGATGATATTGAATGGATGGATAGAAGGATGGATGGATGGATGTTGGCTGTGTATGTACGTTATTATAAGATTATTGTTGTGTATTCAAAGACGAGTTCGTTAGTGAGGCTTATGACTACTGACTGCAACAATATTCAACTGATGTTATTTTTTGGCTGTGTTTACTTCATCTGTATTGTTGTTATCATCGTCATTTTCGAGTATGGATTCGGTCGATTTCATTCATCTCATGCTTATTATCATTATCTACCAGTACTCATCTTGTTTTCGTTAATTGAATCCTGCCTATTTTCCATAAACAAACTTCACCACTGAGAAACCGTGTGATATTTCAGTTAATTGTCGATGTTAATCAGATATTGATCGTCGCCATTTGACAGCCACGACAAAGTGCGACTTAGCGATTGAAATGAGAGCGAGATAACTAACTGCTCGCGAGAGATATCTCAAATGAGATAGCAGCTCATGTGTTTGTATGTGCTTGTTTGCGTTATCATGTGAGGTATACGCGTGTTATCATATAGTCACATGAGTTGAGTTTTTATTTATCTTATGGGACATTATCGTTGTGTTGTGATTAGAGCTGGATCAAGGTGGCCACCGAACCGCGATGACCCCCGAAAATTCGGTCGGTTATTACCGACCGATTTTCGGAGGACCCCGAAACTCGGAGGCCTCCGACCGAAACCGAAAGGGCTGGTTCGGTCGAGGCCTTGGCAAACCGAACTTCAGTTACCACCGATCGATAACCGACCGATGCCCAAAAATTTCCTATTTTCAGTGACACCCGACAGGACATTCGGTCGGGGACCACCGAAAAATTATCTGTCCGTCCCCAATACTAGTTATTGCTGCTGTAGTTGGTTAAGTTAGGGGAGGTTATTACTGCTAGAGATGGTTAACGTAGGACGGAGGTTATCATTAGGTGATCGTCATTCTGTGTCGGGTATTTTCTTGCTTCTTGAACTTACAACCTTTCCAAGAGATTATCTGTCGCCATTCTTTTGCTTCGTTTATTCTGTTGCTTTGATCTATTAATGACCTTTGATCATGATAAAAGATATCGATGCCATTAGATAATATCAAATTGATGGTTCGTAAATCACAAATTTTCATTTTGATGCGCATTCCACAAAGCATTTTTATTTCACTCCGTCAATTTATCATCCATTATCCGATAATATTTGATTTCACTGTAATTCGGCTCAGTCTCTTCCTCGACGGAGTGGCCTTTAGTTTCTCACCAAAGTTTCATATTCAACGATTAATGATGACAGATTTCCTGAGGAAGGGGAAGAACGGAAAATTATTATTAAAATTCTGAATGCAGCAATCTCGCAGATTCATTTTGTTCGTCCATAATGAGCGCAGTAATGGTGGCATTCTTCTAGTTTAACGGCCCGAACAGTGAAAATGAGAATGAGCAAATTTTTTTTTGGCAGTCCGAAAAAGAAGATTCTCTCAGATCACTTTTCTCTCTTACGAACGAACGTCGTCGCGTATATCACACTCTCATTATATCCGTCTAGCAGTTGAGAGGGTTTTTTTTTCAATGAACACAGCAGGGTGGAGAGGCAAAGAGAACGATGACGACAAAATCAAGACAAACAATGCAAACACCATACAATGTGCAACAGAATTGTTAGTGATTCCGTTAAGACGATTCCAAATGCTGACGAGTATCGTCATCCAGCTAAATTGAATGCTCGCAGAGGTAATGCATGACAGTCTTAACCTCAGCATTTGTTTTAAAGCTTTTAGCCTTAGGATCGCAGAGCGGTCCCTCATATTCCTTTCACAACTCACTATTTGAAGCTGTAGAATAATCAGGTCCCTGTATGACGGTATGGATGAGCTTTTTGGATTCAGAATTCCTGTGGAACGGTTCATTTGAAAAATGGAATTTCAAGAAGAAGACTGACTATTTATTCAACTTATGGAAGCAAATAGCAGAAATGCGCCCTATATAATGTGACGCTAGAGCAGCACAACCTATAAACCCGAAGATCCTCTTTAGGGCCACCAAAATCATAAACCAATCTTCACCTTATAGTTTTCACAGCCGTGTCACTCACTGTTATCGAAGACCGCGATTGTCAAACGCCTCAAGTGTGCAGTGGCCAAGTGAGGCATTTGTCATTTATCGTAAGGGATGTTGCACCTGGCTAGATGCACAATGAGAAAGGAAATATGGCATATATCCAGTAAAATAGAGATGCCAAATAATCAATGTGTGTAGGCAGTGACCTACCTCGAAATGCTTTGAGCAATCTGGCAGCTAAACTAGAAGAGAGCCGCCAGCATTAATGTAATGAACGTGCCTGCTGATTTGTAATTGAATATGCAATTTCGCCTGAAACATTTGCTATTGAAAGGCATCACAAAATTGTTTATTCAACTTTAGCTTTCCGGCTTGGATGTGTATGTAAATCTATACATAGATACTTATTATAACACTAGTATCGTTATCAATATAAGAACAACAAATGTTAAGCGTTGAGTTGATGAAGTGAGATGGGATCAACACTTAGTTTTGACATATTTTAACAGATGCGCTCTTTTTCATCGATTAATTCAGTTATTCGCTTTGTTAACCTTCATTATACATCATTTATTTCTGCAGTAATTTTTTTGATTGTTTATTTGTTTACTTAAGCAATGAGCGATTGATTTGTCTCTTTATTAAAGCAGTTTTTTAGCACCAGCTGGGTTCAAAATGACCATAACAAAAGCGCCGTCATTGCCAGACGCTGATACCTACCTCATCGTGTTTGAAGTAGGACTTTGATTCGAAAATGATTAACAATAAGCTCAAGGTGGGAGTAGATTGAAGTTAAACTTAGCTCATTGTGGTTTGTGCAAACTCGGTTGAGATTGAGGTTGGGCGATGACGATAAAATGGATGCTTTCAGTTGATCACCTCGTTCAGTCATTTATCCCCATTCCTTTCATTTATTTGTTATATATGCATCAATTTGTTTCTGTTTACTGTTTTGTTTCATAAACTATGAATATTTGCACTGAAAAGTAGTCAGTGGAACACACTGACGTGAGCACATTCCCTCGTTTTGCTGATGCTGTAATGCTCTCGCGTGCAATTCCACATGAATCATCGTTGCAAATGTTCATTTTCGATGCGTGCAAGCCTCACGTTCCAATTAACTATCAATTGATAGACAAAAGGAAAAGTCATCAAGCGCTCTCGATTCCCTTGATGAATCAACAATTTCCGACCGTCCATCTTTGCAGTTATCCATCCATCTGTGTGTTTGTGTGTGCAAGATCGTCTTCAAAATTCAATTAAACAAATCGAAACAAAAGTTTTCCTCATTCAAAAAATTCAATTTCATTCAGTCTTCTTTAAAAGAGTATAATAAGAAGCTGATTTCGATTCACTTTTCCAATAATTATGAGTTGTTATCTGTGTATTGTATCGGCAACACTCAAATTTCTTCACATGCCTTCATAGCGATAATAGAACAAGTCCTATGTACACGAGCTAAGTTTCAGCCCAAGCTAAAGCCTAGATTGGGTCTCCATCCTTAAGTTATGTCTTAAATTCGAGTCGAGCCAATTTATACTCTTTCATGGTACAGTTCAGTGATTGAAGTAAATATTACGAAGTCAGTTCAAGCGTTCATTTTTCATAAGCTTCCTGTGATTATCGTCAATACGATGCCAGCCAGTGTATGGGCAACGAACCTGGCTGGATTAGTGAGATAAACCGGTGCATAGGCCAGATAAGGTATGGATTAGCGAGAGATGAATCCTAGCAGAGGTGCTCTTGGCCGAAATTTCGAGATGTGACACTTTCAAATGGTTTCGTTGAATGGTGCATTATGCCGGCTGTTGCTGCTGCTGCTGCTGCTGCTGCCGCTTTAATCACTGCAACCAAACACTTCTCCCACGAGAACAAACTAAATAGTTCCTCGTTATCGCAAAAATTTCTGCTGCTTAAATCACTGACGCGGAATGAGGAGTGTGTTGAGGTTTTCTTGAACACGTTTCTTGAATTCAACATCCAAATTCTGACATCGCAATTATTTGTTTGCTGGTTTACGTTTTTAAAGATTATTCAGCTTCGACTATGGAACCTTTCCGATGTGAGGCATTCAGCTATCTATTATATCTGTTCGGTCATTCAGAACGATCGTCTTTGAAAATCGTTCACATTTATATGCGTATATCAATAAGTAAATGGTCACAAAAAATGAAAATGACTGTCACTTTCGATGAATAATTTATGTGTGCATTGAATAATCATTTGGAACTCGTTGTATTCGTCTCAATAAAAGTTTAATTTGCTGTATGGTTAAAAGTACTATATATGTCTTCTCTAATTTTGTCTAATTGATCTATTTTGAGTAATGCATCAATATTCAATATAAAACTATATATATATATATTTAACTATTTATTTATTTATTTATTTATTCGCACGACATTACAAGTCGTAATAAAAAATAAGAATTTATTCATGTGTTGTATTCATCAATTATTTCTGTTTATTATTGTTCAAAAATAAATCCCCAATAGTTTCTCGTGGTACCATCACATGCAATCGTCTTCGGATATTCTTCACCCCACACACGCATCTTCCTCTCGCTCTCTAGGCGTTCCTTTGCTTGTGTAAACCTCTCGTTTACGTTCTATTTCATTGAGTTCCCTCCCTCCTCCCTCCCTCAGAAAGCATTCGTGGAAACGGTAATTGAGGAACATATTGAATAATCATTAGTGTCTAACGGTCTAACTCTCGTAGAATTACGTACTGTCTCGTCAAGACTTCGCATTCTGTATATCAGAATACGTACTATTTATTGATTGTCTGGATGTCTGCTGGGTACATGAAGATGAGATACTGGATCGTTGGTGTGAGAGAGTATGCAAATTTGAGATATATCGATGGATTAGAGAAGGAAAGAATGCTTAAGGAACACGTGAGATGATGGATAGGTGGATAAATATTTTGAAAGATAATGTGATTCGAAGAGGGTATTTGGAATAAAGTGATATCATAGAATGGGGATAAGACGAGTTATATTTATAAATATGTATATATAAAATAAAAAATATATAAATAGTATAATATATGTTTGTATAATAATAAATATATAGATAGCATAATATGTATATGTATATATAATAAATATATAAATAAGAGAAAGCGAATGAATATAGTAGCTGTATATTGATTAGATAGGATATTGACGTTGGGATTAGAGATATAAATAGTGGGGGATGGATTTAAAGAGGGCGGAAGAGAGTGACAGAGGTAGAGGGCATGCTGGATGCGGAGATTTAAAGAAAGAAAGACCTAGAGACGTAGAGATATATGGAATTAGGTATAGGGCATAAGGCATTGACTACTGACATTACTACTACTGTTATTTATATATGTCTATTTAAGAGTTCCACTAGAAATTATTAAATAAAAACAAAGATATTCAGTTTGAATGTGATGATGTATTGTAAATGATAATTGTTAAAATCTATTTGATAATTGATAAACGACAAGTCAAGTGGTGACGATAGCCCAGCTGAGGCTCGTCAACATTGTACTACCACTCGATTTCGAGCAAGACTTTTTACGGGAGTCCGGGAGTCGAACCCGCAACGGCAATCCGTCCGACCAATGACCGATTACCAGTGGTACTCCACCTCTAAGCAGGCAGCTATCGCAGAGACCAGCGAGTCCTGCCTCGGAGTGTTGAGATTGCGAGAATCAGTCTGATCTTATGAGTTTACTGCGATCAAACGCTATCTGCGGAATGTTTTGCGCGAAAGCGAGTGGTACAACGATGTCAATGTAGCAGTAAGTGTGGTTTCAGGATTGTTGTTGAATGATAGTATTATCACTCGCTGAAAATAGACTGCAGCACTTTCACTCATATCAATAAACCGAGTGCAGGTTCATGTATGCGTTATAAATAATCTATAACAATTACAATTCAAACAATATTCTTCACTAAAATACTCCATTGTGCATTCGAATATTCATTGTCATTTGCGATAATTATCAGTCGAGGGTAATCCCATTTTTTTGCGCACAGTCGCACCCTAGCTAAAGTAAGCGATTTTTATTTTTGTTCCATAAAATCATTATTTTTAACGTTATTTACCACCAAACCCAAATATTTATTATTTTACCATTATTAAATTATTAATACATTTGTGTATATTCCTTGTCACTTTTATGTTCCCAAATTCATTAACAGGAATACCGAATATAGCAAATGCGATCATTTTCGATTGAGTTTTGCTTGATGTGTTGAATTTATTTGATGGATAAAACTTAAATGATAAAAAAAAGCAATGATGATGTAAACAACAATGAATAAAATTTAAGTATTAAGTGACAAAAATCGGCAAGTGTTTAAGAATGGGCTGTACGATGAGTCAGGAGGAGCGAGCCGCCCTCGAGCGGTCTCGTATGATTGAGAAGAACTTGAAGGAAGACGGGCTACAGGCCGCCAAAGACATTAAACTTTTGTTACTTGGTAATTCCATTTATAATTATATATCACTAATATTAATATTCAATAGATATCATTATTATTTATCATTATATTATTTCAATAGATTCAATAGATAGATATTCAACAAATATTCAGTATGCATATTTACTTATTCGTCTAAATATTTATTTGATTATAATTACAGGTGCTGGCGAATCGGGTAAATCGACTATCGTAAAACAAATGAAGTGAGTCGCTCATTCGATTCTTTGAGGATATCATTATAAATAGTATTCCATTAGATTAGATATTGATTATATAAGTAAAAATGCATTCAATAATACCCATAAATAATTGATAATAACCGTAGATATAATAGTTGCTATACAAAAAACTGATTTCAGAATTATACACGAATCAGGTTTCACGGCAGAGGATTATAAGCAATATAAGCCGGTCGTATATAGTAATACAGTGCAATCGCTGGTCGCCATTCTTAGAGCAATGGGTAATCTATCGGTGCAGTTTGGAATGTCTGAAAGAGAGGTGAGATCGCTTCGATATTCATGAGCACTTCAACTGAACGGAATATTGTTCACATACGATCCAAGCTTATAATTAGGACAACATATGCTGTTGAGTTGTGACCGCGAAGGTGACTGAGCTGATGAGTTAGCTTCATTTCCGGTCAGACGGATGCCGCAAGCATTACAAACGGCATAGAATGTAGTTGCTGTTATATTTGCTTTCTGAATTGAATCAGTTAACTTGATCGATGATAAATCTCCGCGTTGAGATGGTTGCCTAATCCGTACTGCGATAAGCAACTACCAACAGTTAGAGGGGTTGGTATTTTGTCATAATCCCGTAGGTTTTCGTTTTGGAAGGGGTGAGGGGTAGAGGCGATGTGATGCAGGGTCATTAGTAACACTTCAAGATTTGAATTGCGCTTCAGCCGGATCGTCCGTCCACTGCGCTTGGATGTAAGAATGAGATTAAGATTAAGGTTTCAGCGTTTCATTGGAACAGAACTGAATAAAACCATAAGAGCAATATGACAGTAAAATGCATTTATTTAAAACGCTCCATATGTACCTGGATTAGCCAGGCTATCAAACGATTGTAACGTTGCTGACCACAATGCGCTTGCGTTTCCGTGCACATTGTTTTAGCCTTCATACGTACCATTACCTTGTAAATAGTATCTGGCATGCACAAAACTGATATCGGAATGTTCCATCATTGATAGAGCGTGTTCCGTATCACTCACTGTTCCCTGGCCCATAAACCAGGTGCAAGTAACTTCACGTTTTCACGATAATGAACTGCTGCAGGTAGATGCAAAACTAGTGATGGATGTAGTGGCACGAATGGAGGATACAGAGCCGTTTAGTGATGAATTATTAGGTGCTATGAAAAGATTATGGGCTGATTGCGGAGTGCAGGACTGCTTTGCCAGATCGAACGAATACCAGCTGAACGATTCCGCGAAATAGTTTGTTTTTTTTATTGTTGTTCTTGTCATTCACTGGTGCTGGGTACATTCGAATAAAATCACCGTTTCAGTTTCTTGGATGATTTGGATCGTTTGGGTCAAACTAATTATCAGCCGACCGAACAAGATATCCTTAGAACTCGAGTGAAGACAACTGGTATTGTTGAGGTGCACTTCACTTTTAAGAATCTTAACTTTAAGTGAGTTTGTTTATTCATTATTATTATTATTATTAATTCGTATAAACAATATATTATTTTTATCACAAATTAAGGTTATTTGATGTGGGTGGACAGCGGTCAGAGCGTAAGAAGTGGATACACTGCTTCGAGGATGTAACAGCGATTATTTTCTGTGTGGCTATGTCTGAGTACGATCAAGTTTTGCATGAAGACGAAACCACTGTATGTTGCTTTATTTTTTGTTATTATCTTAGTATAATGTATGCATAAGAGTAATACTGTTATTGTTTCATTGTTCAATTGTTACTTTAGTCGTAGTAGTTTTATTAATTGATTAGTTATTGTCTGTTTATTGAGAAAATTTTATCTGATAATAACTTATATTGGTATGTATCGATGAAAAGTAATACTGATAGTGGTGGTAGTTTGNAGTGATTTGCAGAATCGAATGCACGAATCGCTGAAATTATTCGACTCGATTTGTAATAATAAATGGTTTACGGATACATCAATTATTTTATTCCTCAATAAGAAGGATCTCTTCGAAGAAAAAATTAAAAAATCACCTTTGACGATCTGCTTCCCTGAATATTCAGGTGAATGATTGAATGATTGATAATTCGTTTCTTCATCTTGGTTTTATGATAGTAATAAATAGTAGTAATAAATAATGGTCATAAATAAAAAACTGGCTGCTGCAGGTAGACAAGATTACCACGAGGCGAGTGCATATATCCAGGCGCAGTTCGAGGCCAAGAACAAGTCGGCAAACAAGGAGATTTATTGTCATATGACGTGTGCCACGGACACCACGAATATTCAGTTCGTTTTTGATGCGGTCACGGATGTCATTATTGCGAATAATTTGAGGGGATGTGGTTTATATTGAATTATTTATTATTATTATTATTATAATTATCGTTTATCTCATTTCATCAAAATATCGCACGCATTTAGGCTTTGTTGAATCATTTTGAATTGAATGTGTATTCATTCACCTTTTAACACGAATACACCAATCAAAGTGTATCGATCGATTGATTTGCTATTCATCGATTGATCAGTGTAAAGAATGTTCTTAGTCACTTGTGTAATCCAGTTGCAATTTTCAATTCGATCATCTCAAAAAAATCTCTTTACTCTTAGTCTTACAATCTAGTCATAATTCAATAATTTTCTAGTCTTATTATTATTATTTATTGTTATTATTATTGTTATTTCACAACTTACTATATAATGTATTAATGAAATATTTATCTAACAATTCTATAAATATGTAACATCGAACAATATAATTATTTTTAATTTATGATAAGTAGCATCATACATATATTAATATTCCCAGTAATATGACTATGATAATTAATATTATTAATGCTTTTACGGAAATTATTAATTTATCGGTTCATTTCGTTATTTTGTCGATTGATATTTCTTTCTTTTGCTCCTTTTCATTGTGTTATAATTATGAAATATTCGTAAGAAAATGAATTTGTTTGTTTATTTATAACCGATTGATAAAATGTTATCATGGAGTACACACTGCCATGTGTACTAGCATCTCGATTTTGTCAGTAACGTTAGTCGATATTTAGTTTTGAAATTGTTTTGAGATTCGTTATTCGTTTTGTGTTCGATATTTTGATTGGTAACTGCGATAAAAGATTTCTCCAAAACGTTATCATTAAACAAATCGATTTGTATTGTTTAAGAATATCGTTGGATCTAGTTGTTGAATAAATTGCAGCAATATCAAATTGATAAATACATTTTTTGGAACCATAATCGTTTCGTTCTTATCTTATCACGCAGTTATCAAATCAGCCCGCTTAACACTTTCAGTCGTGTTTTTAATTATTCCTTTTCTTGTTATTATTTCTATTGTTATTACTTTATGATCATTATTACTTTTATCGTTTTTATTGTGTTGTAACGATGAGTATTGTTATTACCGCTGTTGTATTATGTTTTCGCACTCGTCAACAGAATGATCATTTTTACTGAAGCGTTTCTTGAGAATTTGTATTTGTAATGCTTTAAGAGAAACAAAAAAACACCAATTCTAATGCAAAATCAATTGATCTGAAAAAAGTATTCGAAGTAATGCTGCCCGTCAAATGAATACTATCTTTGCGCCCAATCAATCTCAAATCCTAAACGAAGAATTCATTTGAATTTGACTATTTTCAAGAGCATTCTAATTCACAAAAATAAACTTGATTGATTCTTTTTTTGAAGTATTCAGACGGAGAAACGAATTGATTACATTATTACTGATGCTCATAGTCGATGTTAATTCGTACTTCTATTGAATTGAAATGTTGATTAAATTTTGATTGATTACGGAGACGATCGCTGCACTTATAATAAGAAAACAACTGAACAATATTATGTGTGTTTTATTTGAAGAATATAATTTGTTAATTCGTGAATTCTCGATGCATTTGCCATACGATTTGGTTGATTGATGTGTGTTCATTGTTATTGTCGTCTTTACTTTGATTTTATCATCACGACGTCATTTGTGAGAGATTTGAGCAGATTATCGCGGCCGTTCTTTGAGACGTTATAAGCCAGCGATTATCGATGGGTCGATGTAAACCGATAACAAGCCGATTAGTTTTTGGATTTTAAATTTCTGAATAATCGACGAGTTTCGAAACATTTCATAAATTCGAATAATTTTTTCTGATTTTTGAAAATTTCGATAAATTTCAATCGAAAATTTTTCAATCGTTGAAGGCAGTATTGAGGTTTCGATCCGGGAAGTAAGCAATCGGCGTTATGAGTTAGATTAGCGATGTGAATTGATGGAGAGGCACGGACTCGTTATCACGTGTAATTGCTAGTCAGATGGAACGGTAATGATGAAGGAGTGATATACTACGAGCTTTTTACATCTTATCACTCAGAATTGATACAACTCGTTACGATATGACGTCTGATGGAATGTTCTTTGTTTGTGTGTGCGTGTGTGTGTGTGCAGTTGTATTGTTTTACCGTGCTTACTTTTATCATTATTATTATTTT